GCATATGTTATTTTAAAAACCCAAAGGGGATTTTCAAAATAGAAAACCAAATAAAATAAAGCTAAAAGAGCCAATGGTACTCTGACATCACAAATGCATGTCAAAAAGCTTTATCACTGGTTATTTGCAAAAATCTTTAAAAGCTTCAATGCATTGCAGTGAGTTGAATTATTCACTGCCTCTGAACACAGCTCTGATGTGAACCCCTTTTTAGCTGTATGCCAGACAAATCTAGAAATTCATTCTTGCATTTCCTGGAACCCTCCTTGGCAGAACTGAACTGAGCTCCATGCTTAGTTGCCAAACCGTCATTTCCAGCTGGGGGAGATGAGTGAGGGCATTTTCATAGTGAGTTTACACTGCTAGCCACTGCAATTCCTTTTCTGCCAGTCCTCAGGGTGGAAAGCGAGACATCTAGATATTGCCCGTGCCTCAATAAATCAGACGATGGGCCAGTTTGTGCTGTGGAAAGAGCACAGCAGGGCATTTTGGGCATTTTTCTCTTCACGCCGTAGCAGGCCAGTAAGGTTCTACTCTGTGAGGACAAAACAGGGATAAATCTTCCTCTGCATCCCCATACACCATGCCTTCTACATTCTCTTTTGAGCCCCTGGATCTTTCTGCGCACAGATTTATGGAACAGGATTGGGGGATCAGAAAGAAACCTCTGAGAAGTGCTGCCTTTTTCTGACTTGGTACCCTTCCAAACAAGGTGCCAGACGGCACTTGTGCACACAAAGTGCTGGGACATCTTTCCTGTCGGACCCTTCCAGGGACTTCTTACTGACATCGCCTCTAACTCCTTGGGGAGTTAGAGTTACTTCGAAGAAGCTCTTGAGCAGCAAGCAGATTCTCCCTTTTCCTTTGGAAAGCTGACAAAAACAAATGAGTAATAAAGAAAATTAACTCTTTCCAGAATGACAAAACTGAGTAAGGAAACATTTAAATAGAAGCTGTCATACCGGTTTTCTGAAATGCTGCCCTACTTGCATGTACTCAGCCTGCCGTTCTGGAGGCTCTACCAGCTACACGAAGGGGAGCACAAAGGAGGAAACGAACTCCCCAAGCAAGGAGCTTGCAGCACCGCACGCGGCTCCTGGCTGGGCGCGCTGCGCCGGCCCGGCAGCTGCAGTCAGGAACGGCCACGGGGAGCCAGCAGCTGCTGCCCGGCTGCACGGAGGTTTGTGACCCACCGAAAGAATTCTTCCCCTCTCACTCAGACCCTCTGCGCTGCCTCGCAGTTGCTAGCAGCAGCGTGCACGCTTACTCAGTGTTCTTCCCTTAGATAGGTTACACTAGAAAAGCAAAAGCAGCAGCGAGGGGTCAGGGCAGGAGTAACTCTACTGGAGCACTGACAGCTCCGAGGCATTTGTCACATTTTTCTCAGCTGCTGGGGTTCAGAAGTGCTCAGGTTCCCAGCAGGAAGTTCACAAAGTCCTCTTGGGAAGCACAGATTTTGCATCTTGCTTTCCTTGGGTGGGAAATGTGTTGCTCCCCAAGAGCTACACCAGTTCTGAAAACTTTAGTAATGCAACGTGATACTGTCCAGCTTTGTGTCATGTGGAGCTCAACCACACACCGTGGGTGCAGGGTGGTACTGGGCGTAGTAAGTTGGAGGCTTGATTAAGTACAGCACAGCTGCAGAGTGTTATATGTGTATTAGTTTCAAAGTAAAACATAGTCAGCTGAACAGAGCAACCAGCCCTTGTGTTAATGGCACAAGTGTTCTGAAGCTTAATTTGCTCTTGTCCTGAAGCAAGAACAGAGCCAAAGAGAGTAAAAATAGCTAAACATGTTATTAGCACGATGATAATTTTGACTAAGCTCATACCAGCTATCCCCACTCTCTTCCCACACCTGTCTCCATTATGTTCTGGGCTCTTGAGAGTGAAGGAGAAGGCATGCAAAAGACTTGCGATCACTGCTTGGGTCATTGACCACCGCCTTGAACACAGTTCTGCACACACAGGTAACGTACCGTAACGCAACTCCCAAAACTTAAGGGTAATGGAAGTTGAACATGGGCACAAGATGTTGGTGTCTGTACTGCTCCCAGACTCAGGTGTGAACCATGAAAGTCAAACTCAGCCCTGACATGAGCAGGTAAAAAAATTCAGAAACCGTAGTGGAATCGTATCTGCCTTTCACCCCTCTTTGGCAAGAGCACTGAGCACTTGCTTATCTTTGAGCATGTACGTATATTCACCACAGACAATGGGAATAATCACGTGCAAAGATAGCCAAGTATTGCTGCAGGAGCTATAAAAGCACATAATTTTAATGCTTTTTTTCCAAATGCAGCTAGATGGTGCTGTACAGTTTCAAAATGTATTAATTAATTTTGTTAATTAATTTTTTAAGCAATTTTTTTTAAAGTTCCTGTACATACATTTCAAGGAAGGAGGTAAAAGAGTAAAAAACATAAATGAAGCAAATATATTGTCGTAAAGTGTTTTCACAAATATTCTCACTAATGTTTTTGTGATTGTACTCGTCAGACATCGATTTTCATTTTGTTATCAATCTCTTGTTTACAAAAGCCTACTATATGGTAGCATATACATTCATCTTACATTGGGGAAGAAAAGTACAATTGTATTCTTGTTGTGAGAAGTCTGTGTTAGTACAAAGGGCCACATCAAACTGCATTTTTTGTATATGAAGAAAAAAAACACTTTCAAAATAATTCTAATATCTTTTAATCTGGTGAGTGATTGTAATAGTGTCTATTATTACTTTTTGAAAAGCGATGTTTTGGTAAAATGCAATTAAAAATTACTTCTTCTGAAATAAAAGCATGGATAAAGAGCACCTCAAATTCTCAATCATTACAAACTGATATTAAAGACTTTTTCTTGCATTAATTTTACTGAGACAGTATGTTAAAAAAAACCCAAACCTACATATTTAGCAAAACCAACATTCAAAGGCTGCAGAGAAAAAAACAAAAAGCTGGCCAGCAATTTGAGATTTTCATGACTACTGCCTCTAAAAGATGACAAATCCTTTGTAAGCACATCTCCCTTCTGGTAAATCTGCTCTGATCATCCAGATCTCTATTTCAGACCTCAAGGTTTTAAAAATGTGTGTCTCCCTTTCTTCGATACCCACAAAGCCTTCCAGAGGTCACTGAGATGCTCCAGTCTGTCTCCATCACTAATGTGTTTTCTCTCAGTCATTCTCCTCCAGACTTGCAAGCAAAAGTGCATCACTCCTCACTTACTTGCAGCTAGTCAACCTATGACATATATTCTGCTACTCCTCCTCAGAGGGCATCGAAGTGTGAGGATTTTTCCTAGGCTTCTTTTTGCATTTTACATAAGTCACTAACTTTTCTAAACATTACAGCAACTTACAGTTCTCTAATAAATCGTCAGAAAAGTTCAGCCAATTGGTGATGGTAGCCCAGTAACAAACGTTGCTTCTGCCCTGCTGCAAAGAAATGTCATATTGTATTTCTAAATACAGTATAAACAAATTACCCTAAAATGACCATGAATGATGGTACAATCCCAAAGGCAAAAGGACTGAAGGCATGAAATAGTAATTCTACAAAATTATTACTTCCACAGAGGATGGAAGTAAGGATGGGTAACCTGGGAGGAATACAGAGATGTCGTCCGAGCACGCAGCGATGAGGTTAGGAAAGCTAAAGCCCAGCTGGAATTGAATCTGGGCAGGGGAGTCAAAGACAACATGAAGGGCTTCTATAAGTACCCAGGTGACAACAGGCAGGCGAGGGAAAATGTGGGCCCACTGCTTTTCCTACGAGGAAAGGCTGAGAGCGCTGGGACTGTTCAGCCTGCAGATGAGAAGGCTCAGGGGTCCTCATCAATGTACATAAATACCTGCAAGGAGGGTGCACAGGGGAAGGAGCCAGGCTCTCTTCAGTGGTCCCCAGCGACAGCACCAGAGGCGATGGGCACAAACTGACACACAGGAGGATCCCTCTGAACATCAGGAAACACTTTTTCACTGTGAGGGTGACCGAGCACCGGCACAGGGCACCCAAGGAGGTGGTGGAGTCTCCATCCTTGGAGGTATTCAGAAGCTGCCTGGACATGGTCCTGGGCAACCGGCTGTGGGTGACCCTGCTTGAACAGCGGTGTTGGACCAGATGACCTCCAGAGATCCCTGCCAACCTCAACCAGTCTGTGATTCTGTGATTTTGTGAAAGTTACCATTTTAAAGGTACTTAGAACTGTAACTGCAGCATTTACAAGACCACCAATAATGGTGTTATTCTTGATAAAATGTACTTCGTTCACACTGTTCCCAAGAGAAATAGGTTATTTATTTTCCCTAAGGAAGCTGATTAATATGCCATGCAAAACACAACATCATCAGTGGAGTTGTCTGTAACAGAAGAAACACAATTGTTAAAACTTTTTATTTCCTTGAGGCAGTGTAAAGGAAGTTACATATCTATCTTGTACAATGAGTCATTATGTAGAGCTAAAACTTAAGAAATAGAACAATAAACAAAACATCCACAAAGAACCATCTCTGGAAAGTCTTCAAATCAGAGCTATTCATTTAAGATGTGTGTGTGATTTTATTTTAATTCAAAGGCAAAGGGTGCAAGTTATAGAGTTGGGATCATAGTCAAGAACAACTCCCTATGTTCTGCCTTTGTCTTCAGTGAAGCATGAATGTGGTCTACTACGCAAACCAAGTTAAACAGAGAATTAATCAGTGATAGTTGCTCCAGATTTATAAACAGACGCAGAACAAAATTTGGTCCTTACACTACTATTATAGCTGGTAAGAAAGACACCAGGTCTGTAGCTCCTGACAGACGGCCACTTTGTGTTCTGCTCAATGCTAGTTTAGAGAAAAAACAGAAATATTCTATTTATATTAGCTTTTTGATTACTTTTGCCTAGAACGATGGTTAATCTTTACATGAAGTAACAGAACTACTAATTATACCTGGTAAAAATTTGGATGGACTGAACTAAAGGCTCTTGAACAAAAGAAAAGAGTATCCTTGGCATTACCTGTCGCAGCAACTCCTCCTGCCGCATCCTAATTCGCTCCCTCTCCATCTGGATTCTCTGCAGCCTCAACTTCTGCTGCTGTTGCTGCTGTGTGGTCAGCGCACTGGGCAAGTTCAACAGCCCTGGCTGCGGAGTCTGGGGAGGACGACTCTGCTGCGACATGGCTGTGCTGGGTGTTATTTGGTGCTGGTGATTCATGACTGTGGGAAATAAATAAACCATGGCTGGTTAAGTAGAATTGTACTTTAATATAACAGAGGACCTAGGACACATGTTACTCACGGTATAGAGTTATTAGAATTACAGCATTTCAAATGACTAACTACTCCATCCGGCAATATCTGCTACTAGTAATTGCTTAATATTTTTTTAAATATTTCATACGTGTACAAAACACAAATAATTATAATAAGGAAAGTATTTATATTCATCCTGGTACATTCAAATATATACCTAATGATACATAGTAAATGACATGCAAGTTTTTTTAACTGAAAATTCCTCTACAAATGAGTGCCTATAATATGCAGTAAGCTAGCAAAAATGTTTTCAATCTTAACATTTTCTTTATTGACAGATCTAAATTAATTATTGTAAGAATAATTACTAGCACAAACAATGAGCACTATGTGTGTTTTCCACCACTATAAAGGAGATACATCCTTTTTTCAATGACACACAGATGAGAGATGCTCCAGTTCCAGTTAAGAAGCAAACCTCATAGGAGGTCCTTCTCCCTGGCTGGCTGCAGCCTTCCTGTGTTATCAGGGACGAGGCACAATCTCTGCGTACTCATCGATAAATGAGTGTTAGTATTATTCTTATATCTCGCAGAAGTGTTTTAAGCACTGTTTACCTCACAGGCAGTCACACACGACAGAAATGAAAAGCAGCTTGAGAACTGTAACTGAAGAAAAAAAGTGCATCTAATGAGATCCAGCGACAAGCTGGACTGTCAGAAGGTACAAAGGCAGCGCAATAAAGGCACCAGAAATTTATCAGAAACGACATCTTTCTGTATTGTCCTGAACATACTTTCACTTACCATTTCAAAGCAGGTGAAATGCAAGGAAAAGATAGTTAAATTGAATCTGCACGACATCAATAAATGAAAAAGCAAAGTAGTGACAATCACTGCTAGCGTTTCTTGATAGATGTGTCTGTCCCTTCTGAACAAACACTGCCCTTTTCTCCAAGTGGCCTCAGCCATTCTGCGTTTCAGGGTGCAGTCAGTGTGAAGTCAGCTATCTAAGTTCACAGTATGAGAGTGACTATCAATAGCAAAACAGTGTAATTACAAGTCACTAATACATTATACCCATTTCATTATCAAACTCGGCAAAAATCTTCATCAATCTTGTCCTGAAAGAACTGCCCAAATTCACTGCTGCTTTAAACAGCTACATCAGGCAAGAATCGAGTTCAACGAGTTCTTAAATGCAAGCCTGTATAAAATCAATCCAAAAAAAGATGCCAAGTTCAGGCCTGGCATAACTCTTCTCGGGAGTTACATAAATCAGGTACGGCTGAATTTGCAATTCATGGTTTCGGTTACAAATGAAAAAGGTCAAATTAGAGATTAAGGTGTCTGATTTTAGACCCGATGTAACACATCAGAGGGATTTGTAACTCTCTCCTGAGTTCTGGATATGCAAGCACCATATTCCATAGTTAGTATCTTACAAAGAAAACCAAAACAGTCTCTTGCACATTTGATTAACACCTGAAACCTTATCTGCTAGGGTATTCAGATTTGGAAATGACCCATTAATTCCCCACCTTTGGTAGGACATTCCAAAGGTCTGTCTGGGGAATAACTCCATAGATGGCAGGTGAGAAACGGGACCTTTTGGAAGCAAATCTGTTTTATACCCATGTAAACCAGGTAAACACTTTCATTTGCAGACAGAAGACTGCTGCTCAGTCAGTTAATGTTGTTCAGACTGCTAATGCTATTTAAATCAACATAATCTTTTCTGGTCAAATTCAGAAGCTATAAATCAGAGCAGAATTCTCTGTTGGATAGGCATTTTTATTAAGAGAACTGTTATGAAAGAAATTGCAAGTCTTTGTGTAGCTCCATAGTCACTCTGGTAATCATGCCAGAAAGCTAAAATAATAATTCGGCACCTTTGGCAGCAGGTATCACTTGGCCATGGAAACCGCACCACCCCTGCTCTCCAGAAATGCTTCCCTCTTAGTAATGGGCTTGGAAAAACAGGAGGAAAATGAGACAGAGAGGGCAAACTGCATAGCCTCTGCTTGGACCTCCTCTTTCTTTTTGGGTAAAATGTGCCAGTTCCCAGCAACGCAGCCTAATACCTTTTGTGAACTGCGGAGCGAACACTTCCTTCTTTTCCTTCCCCAGCTCACATTTCCAGTAAAAAACACATACAGTACCTAAAGCCAGTCTGGATTACAAGTGGTAGCCATGTACTGTTTTAAAAATTAACTGTCATTTTTGCAAGGATTATTTCACTAACGGGGCAACAGCATAATTAACAAAGCTCTTATCTTTTAAGAAGAACACCCCAGATACTAAAATACACTCTAGAAGAGATACAATATTTTTCTGTCCAAAGGACTAAGATTTGTATCTTCTTTTTTATCTTTCACGCATTGTTCTTACCACACGAGAACTGAAATCTCAACACAGTTCTATGTTTCTCAGACCTGAACATATTTATGCGGTGTACATGCCTGACCCTGAAGGATACGGAACAGCAGGCACTGTTAGAAGTGTGCACTGAAATAAATGGGTTGATGATTTTACAGCCTGGATCAAATGTATGATACCCATACAACGCAAACTGCTGAGCCTAACTCACTCTGCCAGTTCCAAGTTAAAAATTTTTTTGAAAGGTTGACTTTATGCTAGCCAGCTTTCTGCCAAATCAGGTACTGTCTTGCCTTTCTGCAACTGGAGTAAGGCAGGTACACAGGCATTAGGTCAGCATAAACTTTGCATTGCTTCATTTGACAGAAATATTTACAGGTGCTCACGTCAGATCTGAATTAAATTTTTAAATTTTTTCCTTCTGAGTGATCCAGTATCACACAGGTCCAGCATGTAAAGACTATGGAACCATTTGAGAGCGCAGCTGTACGATATTCTAGCTTCAGCAGCAAATCAAGCTCAAGAAATAATCCAAGTTAAAAGCAGGCTGGCAGTAATACAACCTTTTTATAGATTCAGTTTATGTATGGTCCACAAACAGCTGTATCCACACAAATGACATCATGCTTCCACATGAAACCAGAGCGCTGCCATTTATCACCTCTTCCACACCCAACTGCTTGCTCCTGCTCACATGCTACCCCTTATTGAGCTGGCAAAAGTATTTGTGTGGCCACACAGCAAACTAAAAATTGCCTGGGGGTAAAAAGAAGGTATTTTCTGGCTAGATCAATTCCCAGCAGAAGTAACTGGGTAGCCATAAAAATGCTTATGTGCGACCAACATAGGAGTCCCCGTGGGAAAAATAAGCTGGCTGCAGGAAAGATGGACCAAAGCCAGCACTGATCAGTAACTTTTCAGTGGTAAAAACCCAGAAAGGTTAGCAAGCTGCAGTGCTGAGAGGGGAAAGGTAGGAATGAGAGCTGGGTGCAGAAATCAAACCATTTTCATAATGGGAAAACAATGTGTGGAACCCATTTTAAGATGCAGTATATCTAGTCTTATTCACATTAAAATAAGTAATAAATATTATAAGTACAAATACATAAATTATATCAGTGTAAATCTGGTGTTAAATTGCCAGGACTATAAGCACTTAGGCAGGAATTTAACTCTTCTTAAGCACATTTAAGCATGTGCTTAAGTTTTTGGCATGCCAATAGTTGAGTGAGTAGAACGACCATGCTAAGAATCCAAGCTGGTTGAAGGATTATCTCAATATAGTAAGTTCTCCGTCAGAAAACTGCTTTCATCTACATAGCACATGCAAATGATAGAACCAAGCAAAGTTAAGTAAAGATTAATAGCCTGTATGCTGTGTCTGGGATACACTCAGGGCTAGGACATGAGTTATAGTATTATTTGTCACAGTTATTTGTCGCCTTTGCTATATAAAATACTCCTTTCTTCTTCATCAGCTGATCTGCACACATGTTGTACCAGAGCTGAAATTATATATGCAGGAAGGCAAAGAACAAGACAATATGAAAATGCTGAGGAATACTTCTCTTTGAGGTATGGTCTCCAATAACCCTCCAAGTAATTTCTTCTCATGGGGACAGACAGAATATTTTGGTCCAATGAACCCTGTATCTTGGAGTAAATTCCCTTTCTTTCAAGCAACACCATCCATTGCTACATACCATCAAGGAACTACAAGAAGCTCAGCACAATCAGTAAAGCAAGCATTCCCACACCGTGACATTAGGAGTATAGAAATTACATCACACTGAATCTCCTAGAAGTCAAATATGCCATAAGTATGTGATTATATTTCTAACAACAAAAATCCATTCTACTTCAAAAAAAGTTATTTACATCATCTGGGTTTGATAAAGCTATAGCTACAGCAAAGTCTTACAAGTTTCAGTGCAGGAGATACACAGAAAGCAAAGGAATAGGCAGGCACCATCCACAGCCAGTTCCACCACCTGCATTATTTGGCTCTGCTCCTCTTTCAGTCAATGCATTTCTCCTCAGAGGTTTGCAGGTCTAAACCTCTGGACACAGGTCCACAGAAAAATAGATCTGTCAAAAACTACCACTACTGGGAATGGCTTTTGAAGAACCATTGATTTGGGCCATAGAGAGAAACTTACTGAAGGTCATTTGAAACCACTGACCCCACATTTTCCCCAGCATACACTGCTTCAGGAAAAAATGGGATTTAGGTAACTCGCCATTCGGTTTGAATACCAGACACCCACTTCAATAGCAGCCCAAACTGGATAGACTCAGAAACATTAAGTATAGAGGAGTCATGTAGTAGGAGTCATCATGCTTTCAAACAAGTACAGATAGTTTTGCCAAAGTATCTGAATAAAGTATGTTTATGACAGAGTCTAACTTAAAATGGAGCACTAAATTGATATGGTGATAAAATCAACCATCTTTTTTCAGTATCATTCAAAACCAGTTTATAAACAGATGCTAAAGCCCCGGTTTTGATCCTCCAAGCTGCATAACAGCATCGTTCCACTTGAACGATTCCACTTGAGTGCAATTATGATAATGTCCCATAAG